TGAGGACAGTATCTAGTAACGTTGGTCGGGCTCTACTACTACCGCACCGGCGGGACCGAACAAACGCGTCGTGCACGTGCTCATCTGCATAACAATTGCGGCACGCCGACGCTGCTGTGGCGTCGACAAGCAGACGCTGCTCAAACATTATTCTCCCCTTCGCGTTTCTTCGTAATCCTTTTCTTGCTCCTTGGTTTGTGTCGCTATCCGAGGAACAACGAGGGTTTTTCTCGTTGTTTTGTTCGAGTTTGCGGAATTGAAAACTCCTGAATATGTTGATTACGTTGTTTCCCTGACAGCCATATATACGTTCGCTGGTTGCGCTGCGTGCGCAGAGGAAAGAAGATCCGACGAAGAGTCCTGTCTCCCGGTGTTTCCTTCTTTCAGTTCTCTTCGCTTATTCAATATTTTTTTTTCTTTTTCGCGTTCTTCTCGGGCTTGCTCCCATTCTTTCACCGTTATGTTTAGTTTATGCTAAGCAACACGAAATTTTCCAGGTGCAACGGAACTGTAAGGACAAACTAGACACTAGAATAACAAGAAAGAACGAAGAGTGTAAAAACACCGATACTAGGCACCAAAATTCCGCAATATAAAATAACGTAAGGGTATCATCGAGCATTGTAGGACGATTCGATTTGAAATTCAAAACCCTACGTCGTTCAGGACATCTTGAGAGAATGCCGCTTTCCTCTTATTCTGTGTAGGTCGCCGGGAAGACACGCGACGTTCAAAGTGGTATTACCATTTCCCTTACGAATTCGTTGCCACGGATTCGTTGAATTGCGGAACCCTGTCTGTTGTTTTACTGCTTAGTACCTTGCGAGAAACAGGCCGATATACGTCGTATAAGCGTGTACCACCCACCAGCTTATTCGAAGGACCGGAAGCAGTCGAACCTGACATCCCCTCCTGCCTGCAGTTCGGGACATGTAGCTGGCAACACATTACCGGGGGCTTCTCTTTGTCCGCTGTACGACGATTTTTGCACATTTTTCTAATTAGAAAAAAAAAGCAAGTTTTGCGCATTGTTTATATGCCGAGCGAAGTAGTTCGTACAAGAGTTGATTGTCGGAGAAAAAAGCGATGCTTTTTGCATTTGAAACGTGTACGTCTTGATGTTATGACACACATCTAATTTAAACTGCACCTACATACATCTTAATTCCCTTCCTAAATGTGTCAATTAGTAATGCTACGCGAGGAGCCGGACTACTTTTACTACGGTTCTTGAGAGTGAAAACGAGTATGGTATAGCTTTGATGAGAGCCCTTCAATACCGAGGTAGAAAGAGAAAACTGGCGATGGTTCGTCTGTGCTAACACTGCACGGCACTGTTAACGTAAATAAAACACGGACGAGTTCTTTTTTTTTTTAATAATACGCAGGGCAGATTATTGGCAGGCACCAAACATTACCCCTGACTACACTCAGTGAGGACCTTCTGTCATACTGGTAGGTTTTATAGCAGCCATGCAATTTTAAGAGAAAAACCGGGAACACCGGCGATCGCTTGTTCCTGCGCGCAGTGTCGCGCAGTGCATATTCACTGTAACAGGACGAACGCTAATCGGATACATGCTGAAAAGACGTTTCAGCTCGCCGACATTTTCTTGTACCCTGGCAAAGCTCGTTTGTAATATGCCTCTACCACAGTTGCTCGCATGCCCTTGAACATAAATGACGCGAACGACAGGTATGTTCGTGTTTTCTGTTTTCTGCGTTTGCAAGCTTTGGTGGAGTAATCTAAAACTTTGCTGAACGACCGTGCAAAAAAAAAAAAGATATATATACATATGTAATATATAATTTAGGGCTACGTGAAGTAAAACGCGAGTCAAATAAATTTTCACTTTGCCCGCGCGCAATTTTCGGCACCGCTGGAAAAAGCGGGGTCGTCCGACATCGAGACGAGCAAAACGATCTGGACGGGGGACCAGAGAGCCGAAAGCAAAAGTCGTAATGTCCGTTGAGAGGATGCGCGGATGAGAATGCGCGGGGAGAAGAGGGGAATGCGAGATCCTAATCTCCTCTTCTCCTGGGAATGGACAACGCTGAAACGGAAGTGGGCAGTTACGTCGCGCGACAGGCCGTTTGACCAAAGGGGGAAGCCCTAAAAGCGACGGACAACGCGGGACGCATTTCACATATTTATTCGTCGTTTTGTTTCTGAGTTCATATCGTCTGGCGTGTATCTCGTCTTTATCCATTCGTTTATTTTGTCTTCCGAGATTCTCTTTTTAAGGGTTCTTTACGTACGCGGAGTACTTACACAGATCCCGGTTTCAGAATTAAATGAACACGAGTGCGTGTCCCCGGTGATTACAGCGTGAAAACAAAAACAATAAACTTACACGCACGAAAATGACAGACGTGCTCATAAATACATCGTACAAAACACGCGGCGTTTCTTTTGCGTGGCAGACACGATGAAAGAAGTTTTCTGCCAACAGGCCTTAAGAATCTTCGAAGCATTTCTAATTCATACATACTAGGGAGTTTTTAGGTTAACCGTTTTTTTTTTTTTTGCACTTTTGATACGGTATATTAGGGAGTTTTAGGGAACCGTTTGTGCACTTCCGATACGGTCTACTAGGGAGTTTTAGGGACCCGGTTTTTGCATTTCCGATACGGTATACTAGGGAGCTTTGTAGGGAACCGTTTTTTGCACTTCCGATACGGTATACTAGGGAGTTTTAGGAAACCTTCTTTGCACTTCCGATACGGTATACTAGGGAGCTTTGTAGGGAACCGTTTTTTGCACTTCCGATACGGTATACTAGGGAGTTTTAGGAAACCTTCTTCGCACTTCCGATACGGTATACTAGGGAGCTTTGTAGGGAACCGTATTTTGCACTTCCGATACGGTATACTAGGGAGTTTTAGGAAACCTTCTTTGCACTTCCGATACGGTATACTAGGGAGCTTTGTAGGGAACCGTTTTTTGCACTTCCGATACGGTATACTAGGGAGTTTTAGGAAACCTTCTTTGCACTTCCGATACGGTATACTAGGGAGTTTTAGGGAACCATAATTGCACTTCCGATACGGTACACTAGGTAGTTCTAGGGAACCGGTTTTTGCACTTCCGATACGGTATACTAGGGAGTTTTAGGAAACCTTCTTTGCACTTCCGATGCGGTATACTAGGGAGCTTTGTAGGGAACCGTATTTTGCACTTCCGATACGGTATACTAGGGAGTTTTAGGAAACCTTCTTTGCACTTCCGATACGGTATACTAGGGAGCTTTGTAGGGAACCGTTTTTTGCACTTCCGATACGGTATACTAGGGAGTTTTAGGAAACCTTCTTTGCACTTCCGATACGGTATACTAGGGAGTTCTAGGGAACCATAATTGCACTTCCGATACGGTACACTAGGTAGTTCTAGGGAACCGGTTTTTGCACTTCCGATACGGTATACGATGGGCCCTCCGGTATACGAACTGCGCATGCGCTATACCGCGGAACACTCGCACATCCGCAGTTCGTACCGTATCAAATGTGCAAAAGCGGTTCCCTAAAACTCCCTAGTGTTCTGCAAACCGTCTTTTGTATGACGTATAAACATTGTAAATGCGGCAAGGGATGCGCAAAGCGGCCGTTGCCTTTTCACGTGACCCCGTGGCATCCGATTCAAAACCGAGATCGAAATGTGAGATTGCTCGAGTGGATGGAGGGGAGTGCGCGTCACGGGACTATAGATTGAAATGCGAGATCGACATATCGGAAGAGACGAGGAGCAGACAACAAAAAAAAAAGTGGGAACCGTTCAAGGGGTTTAACGCGGGGGGTTATAATTATTCGTATGTCGCTTATCCGGCGTCAGCTGACCGCTCGATTCTTTCGATGTTCGTCACACGCCGCTACAGGTCAGTGCAGAAGTGACATATTGAAACGCGCGTTCAGGCGGTCACTTGTATCGGGTCACGTATCGGGAATGTCGTGGTTGGTTTAGCGTGGCGTTGCCGCCGCAGCGTTGCGCTTACCACAATGTCAGAACTCGGGGGCTTGCCGGACATTTCAGTCTGGCAACCCATGTGGACGTTTGCCGAGGGGCGCTCACGGTTGTTAGACTTGTGCCCCAGCAAAGCGTTTATTACCCACAGGGGCCAGATTTGCCGCTTGCGGACGCGTCTATGTAGGTTCTTGCATTGACGGGTGCGTGTCGTTTCGTAGAAACACGTTTCGTGGACACCTTTTCAGGGGCAAACGCTTCATCGACACTTTGGCGTTTAGTGGAGACTCGTTTCGTGGACACATGCTCCTGCAATGCTCCGCAACAGCGTTTTTTTTTTGTTTTTTTTTTTATTAAGTGCATACGTTAGAACACGGTAAAGACTAACGCTTGGTTCACTGAGGCATGTTCAGCTAAACCCTCCTTCGCAAGGTGTGTCGATGAAACGAACGCGGGAAGTCTTTCAATGAAAAGTCGCATGCCGACAAAACGATCTGTCGATGAAATGTCGTTCGAAAAATTAATCATTGCCACCGTTCAATGTACTCGCCTTGTTTGCTCGAGCTTTCTTAATCAACGTCCAATGTTACTATATCAAAGTCAGTTGGCCAGCTTCCTAAACTCTCCATGCCTTTTCGTGGCACGTCCGCTCGGTGGCACTGGCTACGTTATATATGAGCCCGCCCACGAGCAGAAACGGCGGAACCGAACGTTGGATGCACACTGCCTGCGGTGGAAAATGATTCCTTCGCGCGCTTTAAGGTACACATAAAGTGTGCGCGAGAAGAGCGGCGTTCCAAAACGGTCCTTCTGGGTTGCACGTACAGGCGTTGCCGCTGGTGGCGCTGGGAACGTTAACGTCCGCTGTTCGCGCGCAGGCAACATAAAAGAACCGTTTTCGAACGACGCTTGTCAACTTGTAGCTTGTCTAGCTGGACTTGTCAACTTGGACATGTGGAGCTTGTCAACTGATAGATCTAAGAACGTTGGCTGCTCTTGCGTAGCTGTCCTTGTAACCCTCGGTGTCTCTGATCGGATGCAGGCGACGGCGACGGCGAGCGGCTGTTCGTGCGCGTGGGCGGCAACGCGACGCTGGCGTGCCCGGACCTGCCGCCCGGGGCAGGCCCTCCCCGGCACCTGCTCTGGTGGAAGGAGGACCGACGCCTCATCGAGGCCACCAGGGACCGGGTCACCGTGGCTCCGGACGCGGGACCCCGGGTCTCCCTGCTCCCGGGCAGCAGCGCCCTCGTCTTCCGATCCGTGCTCGCCCAGGACTCCGGCGAGTACCAGTGCGTCGTCAACAACCGCCAGGGCCGCAGGGGACTCGTACGACTCTTCGTGCAGGGTGAGCAGCCCGTGCGCAACTCGGGAGCGCCCATTTATTCCGAGTCTCAATCGAGGACTTTCGTGGGAGGATCCCCATTTTGGAGCTTCGCGCTGTCGCCGCCAGGCCGGGACTGCAATTCGATCGTATACTCCCTTAACCGCGTTGTCGGGAACACTGGGTGTCCCCCCTTATTCCCCTTGTCCAGGGATTATTGTCGTTATTCTCGTCTAGCTCGCTCGCACCATTGCGTTAATAGACCTTTTTTTTCTAAATTACGCAACCATCAAAAAGAATGCTAGGAACGTAGGTGCACGCCCTGGCCGTGTTCTCTTTAACTGTATTAAATCTTCGAATTAAACAACCAAATTAAGACGCTTATGAACGCGCGTGCAAAGTGTCATTTGTTTGGGACTTTTACTTTACAACAGTTACGGCAGCAGAAGGCTGTACTCGCAGCGCGTATAACTGCACTCGCGCACGCTCCTTAAGCTTGCGTAATTTAACAAGAGGTTATATCGCATTATCACCGGAACAAAGCCCACGTTAAGACCGCTGCTTGTAACGTCCAGAAAAAATTGAACCACCGATTTTCCAGGTGAACGCCAAAAGAACCAAGAAGTGTGAGATCTGTTCAAAATTTTCGCATTTTCTCGTAAACCAACTCGTCTCCTCCAAGACGTTAAAGGGGTGGTGAACCGAAATTTGGATTTAAAAAAGAAAACAACGAAGGAGGTCTAGCCGGGACGCTACAATCCATACAACATCTACAAGGCGATATCTCGAATGAACGGCCGTATTTTTGGAAAAAGAAGTCGAGATTGAATGAGGCCGACGAGGCGCGTGACGTCCAATATATCTCGTTTCCTCCTCTCTTCGCTTTGCTCCCTCAAGGCGGCGAGGCGGAGAAGACGCGAGGCCATTCCCTCTCCTTCTCGGAGAAACATGACGTAAACATATCTGTCAGATGCGCCTCCTTTTTTTGAAAAATACAGTCCTCCGTTCGAGATATCGCTGTATGAGTGATGTTGTGGTGTTTATAGCATCCGGTTGCACGCTTTTGCCGCGTGTTTTGGGGAATCCAGATTTCGGTTCAGCATCCCTTAAATCTTCGGCTGTATACAACCGAATATCTTCGCTAAATCTCCAACCTTGTTGTCTGTGCAGCCTTTATGCTTTCTAACCCCGGTGACGCAAGCAAGCTTGCCAGGCTTGCAAAGCTACCGGAAGTCTCTCGGGACGCAAGCAGCGGTTCATGTTCATAAACAGTAATGCAATCACTACTGCACGATGACGCCAGATAAGTATGTAGTCGTACCTCACCCGCTAAATTGTTCCTCCCCCGCAATGTTGAACCAGCATCGCCATATAACTCAAATGTATAAACCGACCTCTCGCTGCGTAAATATTCCCCGCGAATGTCTCGTCATTAGTCGGTCAAGAATTGTACTTTGGCGTAAAACCCTTTTGTTGATGGCTACGCGATAGTTCACGGATGCCCAAACGGGTTAATCGGAGAGCCAGAATAAACGCTTTTCAAAAGTTCGTGCCATCTAGCCGAGGCCGCCATGATTTGGCTACGCATACTCTGACCACGGATGTATTGGGACGCGAGCGCTGCGTCAGTATTCGGCGTGAACTCGGCGAAAACTCTGATCTAAAAGCACGCTTCGTGCCTGACAAATGGCGACCGCCTATGTTACTTTGAAGGACTTTAGAAAATGCTACGGTTGGATGGATGGGATGGGAACAGCAATGAGCTTCCCGATGAATTATCATACAACTGTTCCTTCTTTATTCATTGTTTGTGTGCCCTATATATTGTTAAAGCTCATTTCCCCTTCATTTTTTCTTCCCACAATTTCCTGTTTCCTTTACTCTCTTTTCTACTGATACGCTCCGATTCACCCCATCTTGTTGAATGTATTTAGATCTCAGCTTGCGGGTTCGGTTTGTGTACTTACTGTTTAGACTTTTCAGATATAGATACTTGTACAGTTTCCCTCCCCACCGTGTATCCACAATTTCAGCCAGTCTTTGATCAAATTTTACTTTACTGATCGCTTCTCTACTCTCGAAAGATGCCCACCCCATATCCCCCTGTACTCCCTCATTTGGTGTATTCCCATGTGCCCCCAGTGCCAACGTATACCCACACTCCTTTGCTGTATCTCTAAACCTGCCTGGATTTCTGACCTACTATACAATACCGCATTCCCAAATGGGTCTTGGCACAATGACTCCCTTCCATACACCCCTAAAGACTTCATATATATTATAGTTCCAGGGTTCCCCGTGTTTCATAATAGCTGAATCTCGTTTTCCCTTTTTATTGCAATATCTTCATGTTCTTTTAGATACTTTCTTCCCTCACTTAACCATACTCCCAGATATTTGTGCATTTCTACATGTTCTAGCACTGTGCCCTGTACCTCCCAGGGGTTCCTTTTTCTCTTCGTTGAAAACTATTATACCAGACTTGTCCCTACTGAATTTTAGGCCTAAACTGTCCCCTTCCCTGCTGAAAATCGTAATCAGTTCCTGTATTGCATGCCGACTTTCTGATACGAGTACAATATCGTCTGCATACATTAACCTAGATAATTCTTGATTTACTTTAAGTCCTTCCTCCATGTAAGTCAGGCCAAAACCTAGGTTGCACTGCTCTCATCTTTTTCCATCTCACTGAGGTATATCATAAAGAGCAGGGGAGAAAATGTGCAACCCTGTCTAAGTCCTCTTTCTCTCGCTGCTGTTCTTGTAGTTTTGGCTTCCCATGTTATAACCACCCTATTCTCCTTATAAACCCGTTCTGGAAACTTAACCATGGTTCCCTTTAGCCCATATCCCTTCAGTTAGTCCCAAAGCTTTCCTGATTCGCATTGACACATGCCCCTTTGATGTCCAAAAATGCTACCCATAATGGCCTTTGACTTGTCATTGCTATCTCTATGCACTGAGTGATTACGAATAAGTTATTATAGTCGTCTATCTCTCCTCAAACCGTTTTGAAGCTCCCTCAGAATCTGCTTTCTCTCTGCCCATTCTTCCATTTTTCTTTTTTACAATTTGCTTAGCCAGTCTGTATATTACTGAAGTTTCTGTGATTGGTCGATTTGATTTGATACCCTCTGCCTCCCTTGCCCTTACATAATAATTTCATCCTGCTCTATTTCCAATCACTGCGCACCTGCCCTCCCTAAGTACCTGGTCAATCACGTGCCTTAGTTTCAATCTGCTTGTTTTGCCTAGAACTTTTATTAGTCTCATTGGTATGTCGTCTGGACCTGTTGCAGTTCCAGCCGGAACCTTTCCTTTTGCTTTTTCCCATTCCCCTGTGGTCATTTTCTCTTCTTCAGTGTGATCCTCCTCTTGTGTTGTTTAGATGCTACCATTCCCTACGGCCTGATCTGGTTCCAACTCCGAAAATGCTCCGATACTTCCGATAACGATAACGATACCCATGCCGATGTGAAAAAAAAAAAAGAAGCCCCGATGCAACTACTCCCCCTCTCCGTGTCGACGACATTGTTCTTGAGCCAATCAGAGGGCGGTCCCTGTGGCTTCGAGCGCCGGCCCGACCGGCTCCCGGTCAGCACGGCTCTCCATCTTTCCACGCCTCCAAACAAAACAAAACACGAAACGAACACTAATATGGTCGCTTCCCCCGACTGAACAGGCTTTCTCCTTGTGCGCTCCAGACGGGGCAGACCGGACTTCTTACCTCACGCCCCCCCACCCTCCTGCCTCCTCCTTCGAAGTCGTGACCAGCCACCTTAGGAAGAACTGCTCGCTTCCTGCGCTACCTGCAGCCGGTTATAAAAAGAGAAACTCAATCCCACCATTACCTGGCAAAGAGCGAACGCTAAGGGTTCCTCCAGCCAATCAGAGCAAAGGACGGAAGCACGTGACAGCTCCCTGCAGGAGGAGACGACTTGGACAATACGTTGGCACGGGGCTCTCTCCGATGCGCTGAATGGCTCGCTGGAAAGCAGTAGCCTTCGTCGTTTACCGAGCTACGGTGAAACAGAGAACGGGAGTTCTCTCTGGCCGTTTGTGTTTTGCCCGGTCTGGTAACTAGCCTCCAGAACTTTCTATTTACCGAGTTATTTTCGTTTTTTTTTTCTTTTAGTAAATGGTTGAGGGAGGCGGCGAGAGGGAGGGACGTGGAATCACGGACTGAGTAGGTTTGGCTAGCTTGTTATGTAGTATCTCGTGTGTTGGACATTCTTTTTGTTGCGAGTGTGTGTGTGTGTGCGTGTCAGTGTTCTCTTGTGGCGCAAGTTTTTTTTTTTTTTTGCCACGTTTCTACCGGATCCCCGCTTTTCTGTTGCGCATTCCAGTATCGCGGTACAGTGTTTGTATCTCAGATCTTTTCCTTTACGTTCATTCCGTGCCACCCGCCTTCCCTATCCTTTCTTATTCTTTTTCTCTAGTATATATATATATATATATATATATATATATATATATTAGGGTTTCTTCATTTTGGCCATTGTGTTGCACTCGAATGTAAGTTGCATCACAAAGGAAGACTGAGAACTTCAATAAGCGAAAGTGTGCAGGCGAGCTGGCTTGGAAACATCATAATCTACATCCTGACACACGGAGAAAATAAAATAACGGACGAAACTAAAAAAAAAAAAAAAGAACAACAGCGCATATACGTTGCACCGTACGGAGTGAGGATTTTGCGTCGAGTCATGACCGCGACTCGCCAGGACATCTGCAGGTGCCATGTCAGCCCATACGAAGCACGGATCCAGGTTGCGCAAGTGTGGTCGCTGGCAGGGTTAGAATTGGCGGAGGTCCGCTTGTTATCCCTGCTCCTTAACTCATTTTCACTCCTGCAGAAAAGAAAAGGAAGTTTTCCGCATTGTTTCCATTATCTGGATAAGATAACATATATCTAATCCGAAACGCAGCTGCACACATCGAAATTCTCCACACAAAAAGGGAAAATGAGTAATAATCCGCGAGAAGCCGGACTACTTTTAGTACGGTTCTTGGGGGGAAAACGAGTAACAGCTTTCTGCTTCGATAATGTTTCGACGTCTCGTGAGCAGGCATGCACGCGCAACCAAGACACGACGGAAGGCACGTGCTATAGGTCGGGCATTTGAGAGAGAGAGAGACCCCCTGACCGTTCTTGTCCCGTCAGTAGTCAGACGCAACTGGTTCAATGGGCTAGGACTCGTGGGCCCGGGATCCCTAACGCCAACATACTCGTCGTTTTTAGAGCGCAGCTCTTAGGCGCCCGTTTCCGGCTTGAGCGGCGTCGCCGTCGGCGTAACCGTAATGTCATGTGACCCCTCAGTACCGTTCCCCTCAGTACCCTTCCCTCCCCCTCCTCAAGAGCTGCGCTCCAATTCGGCGTTAAAAGGAATTGTAAACGGCTTTCTTTTTTTTATTATTTTTTTTAAAAAGATGTTTATGGCTCCCGGCTCCTTCGGGTTCAATGTTGTTTTCTTCTGTTTAGAGGATCATGATACTCACGAAGGGGGGGACTTTCTGGAATTTTCTCTCTCCCCCCTTTCAGCACACAAGAGGAAAATCGACACTTATGATGCAGCAGCTTTCCATAAAAACGCTAATTCTTTTGGCAAAATAAGCTGAAAATTGCATCGTATCCGGCAGATATTCCAGCGTTTCTTTTTTTCTAAACTTTAGAAATAGAAACAAAAAACACACACAAAAAAAAAAAGAAACCTCGCCTGTATTTTTTTTTTTTCTCTCCCTACCCGGATTTTGCGCAAACTAAACGCTCAAAGTACAAAAAAAAAAAAAAAAAAAAAAGGAAGTAACACGAAGAAAGCTTAGTGTCCCCTATGGCGTCTTGTTTTGCCCCCACTTGGCGTAACCACCTCCACCGCCATCAGGTAAACGAGGCATCCGCTCACAACTTCCCTCGGTCCGGTTCGAGGGAAAGGAGGAGGAAGCGCGTGCGATCGTCGGATCTCGATGATTATGGTTTGCAGCCCCCGCGTCAGCATCTTTTTTTTCAAACATTTTTGTTTTCCTATTCATTTATAAATATTCTATTATTATTTCTATACACCGCTCGCTTTGTTTGAGGCGGAATTCTTGGGCACCCGTGTCTCTCTCTTTTGCTTGCTGACACTGCTGCTTTGTGCAACCCTGCAACTTTCGCATCCTCTTTTCTGTGTGTTGTTTGCTACCGTGGGGAGAGAGCAGGGATGTGATTAAGGGCGGTTGTTCAACATCTCGCGTTACGAAGAGAACAAAGGGACGGACCACGAAACGCAGCGCAAATGGCTTTTGGTGTTCGTGAGAAATAGGGGTGAGGGAACCGGACAAGGGAGGGGAGGGGGACGGACAGAAGCGAAAAGTGAAAGCCATTCTTGTAACTTATATTGCATCTCGGGCGGCGCGTGTCAGGGTGCTGAGTTCCGCTTGTTTTCGCCGGGGGAAAAAAGGCAGGGTCGCTGAGTTATTTCTTGCGCTCTTCTTTTTAGCAAACTGCAACTTGTTTTTTTTTTTTTTTTTTTTTTTTTTTTGTATTTGTGTCTTGGGTAGGGCGAATGCTCGCTTTGGTTGTTGGGGTTTCGAAACGCAGTGGCCGAAATCGTTGTCTCTCTAAAGCGGAGACATGTAGAATTCCAAGACAAGGCTGGGTTTTCGTCTGGAGACCTTTTATGATATAAATTAAGCGTTAGTTGTATACGTTTTTTTATAAATAATATTATTAGTATCTCTATTGTTCTTTAACTTATATTGTTCTTTTTTTTTTTTTTTCTGGTGGGATATGTGGGTTTACGGAAATCATATGGCCTCGATCGTCGGGTGAAAACACTCCTTTATGCGATTTCGATCGCTTAGTTTATACCTTTGCTTACTCGTTGTTCCAACGCGCAATTAAAAGCAAGTAGGACGTGAGATGTTTAGGCTGAGTGATGTACCTCATCCACAACTGGCGGCTAAACCGCGTTCGCGCTTCACGCGCATTCGATGACAAGAACGAGCGCACTTGCTTCGCGAATGCGATTCGAACGCCGATGTAAATGCAGCCATAGCCTCCTTTATACTGACATAGCCTGGCAGATCGCCGCGAGAAGCGACCGCCGAAATGGAAAAGAGCGAGCGGCAGACATTGGATGACAGGAGGAGCCACGTGACTGGCGCCCCGCTGCGGCGAGACGCCTAAACACACTTCTCCCGAGCGAACAAGTGTGTTTCGGGTCCTCGCCGCTGTAAAAGCGGTGCACTGATGTCCAAAGAGTTCCCCGAGAGATGACTCTTTGATGCTCTGCGCTACCAGATCCTCGCGCTCCAAATCGGCGACCGGACATCCTATGGCTCCGTCGTTAAACTGCCATGGTTTTTTGAGTATAGAGGAAGCTATGACTCAGCGTAAGGTCGGTCTGCTATAGTGAAGAGATGGCGGTTCGCGCTGTTAATGGCATATGTAGCCAGTCCAACGTAGGACTGCTAACCTAGCTCTGCTCGTTTTCTACTGAAAAACCGTAGTGAAAAAAAAAGTCCGCCTTCTTCGCAATATCCGCCTTAGATTCTGTCCGTGTGTAAGGACGGTACTATATTGGCGATTTTTTAGACCAAGATGGCACCGCACCTGGTGGCTGGAACAGAAGGCTTTCGCGGCACGTTCGCTGACCAGCTTCCTCGGACGGATCAGATGTTCACAGCACCTGGCGGGCCTAAACACGAAGCCGTCAAAGAAGGCTACAAAACACGCGAGAAAAATTGACATTAAGAGTAAACCCCAGAGGAATAATATTTTTTTCTTTTTTTAAAGGACAGAAAAACGCTAGTTTTAATTCGAGAGTTCGTTTTTCTTTTTTATTATTATTGTTTTTCTTTTGTCTCAGATTAAATATGAACGTCATTCACCTGCTTACCTGCATTTTTCCCCCTTTTTCTTTATGAAAATTGACGGTACTTCGCCAACAACAGCAAAGTGTGCCGGATTAGCGGGCACTGTGCGCAACCACACATCCAGATCGAATTTTCTCAATTTCCGCTCTGAGCACCTAATGATTCGCCATATATACTATATATTACACGAGAGAGAACGCCCCGAAAAACCTTTTTCTTCCTGGCTCGAGGCGGTGGACGGATATATATATATATTCGCAGCTGCTCCGAGCGCGAAATCTCATCGTGCGCTCCACTGAATCCGAAGCTATACGCCGCGACTCTCCCTTACTGGACTCTCTTCATCCCCTCACGCCCTTGGACAATCGATTCCTTCCACACTCTCTCTCTCTCTCTCTCTCTCCCGCCTTTCCCTCTCGCCCTCTCTCGGCCAGAGCTCGGCTGTGATTGGACGCCCGTTTCGGGTTTGACCCGGGAGTTCGATCTCTCAGACTCGGAGAGCGGAGTTTGCGGCGGAGGCTCCGAAGTGTTGTGTTCGGCGGTCCACTCACGTTTCGGTGCTTACGTCATCGGAGTAAATCAGGTTTAGCACACAATAAAGAACCGAAGGCTGGCGCTGTCGTTGCGGCTCCAATCGGAGGAAACAATAATTAGGTAGAAATAAGGAAAAGTAGGCGTGTTCGCGTACAGTGCCAGACCTTGCGCAATTTTGTTACTTTTTTTTCTTAGTTTTTAAATATATTTTACGTATTGTTCGTTTTTTTTTTCTTTTTTCTTGGTACGTGCTATTTACCAAGAAACGCTGAAGGGCGAAGGTAGAAGGTTATTTTCAGAATCGCCGAGAAATACAATTAGGCATTGAAAATCCGATCGATCTCATGCCCGATGCCCAAAATTCCGATCGAAGGAATAAAAAAAAAAGAAAGAAAAAAGCTCGGGTAACCAAATTAGCCTGTCGTACGTACTGCGTTTTCACGGTTACATAACAATGCGTTGTATTCGTGCCGATTGCATGGCCAAAATACTCGAGAAAACATACGGGTGTGGACAGCGAGCAAAAACACGAGTGAGTGGAATAACAAGGACAAGCATGGGCCAAACGACACGGGCCATTTTTTATCTTATTTTTCCCTTCAGTCCAGTACATTTTTCCAGCGAAGAATTTGGTAAATCTCGACTCCACCTGGTGCCCGCATCGACTCACGTGCATCACATCCTGACAACAAAAACAGCTCCAACTTCGTATTAAAAAAAAAAAAGAGAGATAAGAACGAGAGTTGTAGGAGGGGAAGAACTTAGGGTCGGAAAGGGGAGGGGGGGAGGGGGGCACGTGTGCGAGCGGACACGTACAAAGGAGATATTTTAGCCCTCCTCACCTCCTCCCCTTTCCCCGTCATTATTTACTCCCAACTTTGTATTTACAACACCCCGAAATCTACCCAACTCGCGCTTTTGAAAGAAAAAATGAAATAGGTAAAAACATCAACAAGCCCAAGAAAAGTTCCTCGTATCTTGAACAGCCATCACTCCCCGCCGAGTTTCCTCCGACTTCACCGACTTCGGCAGTGTTCGAAGTGTACTTTATTTGTTATCCTTATTACTTTCTTTTTTAATCCCAGCTTTGGCTTCATATCCTACGGTAGCGAAGCCCCTCTTCCAACTTTGTGCCCCCCCTCCCCCCGCTGATCTGTTTGTTTATTTTTTTTGTTTGTCATCATGGTCCTCGTTACCCGCTCGTGCGGCTGTTTGAAGAGTACTTCGCAGTAGCGGGGCTCCCGGAACGCAGGAAAGTTTGAAGGGTGACGAAGTTTGTAGAAACCCGGGGAGGTGGGTGGGGGTGCTTGTTTGCCCAACCAATTTTCTCGTCCCCTCAAAACCGTCTTTCAAACCCTACCGGCGCCCCCTCCCCAATCTTTCTTTCCCTTACTCTAAGCCCATTTCTTTATTCATTCATTGTCAATATTATAAAAGGAAAGAAATACCTCCGCTTGGATGAATAGGGGATTGGCCACGCAAAGTCACGCGTCCCTCAGGTAGCCCGCGTTTGTGTTATACTTCAGAGTCTGTCCTGTTGCTTGCCCTTCTAGTTCGAGTTCATTTCTTTCAAAGGCATTCGCAGTGAAGGTTATACTTTCCCCGTGAATGTCCTAATGTCAAAATAATGAGGGGGGGGGGGGGGGGTATTCGACTGTACACGCCATATTTGGACTCCGCCGTTCACTGCACACGCTCGCAACGAGCTCACACCTACGAAATAATACCAAGACCCGTCATTCTTTCTTGGCGCGAAACACACTTTACAAAAGTGGCGATGAAGCCTCGCCTTGAACACGAGCTCGGCGGACCACTCGGCTTTGGGCCCGTAGCTTTCGACGTTTGCCTATATATAGCTGTCATGAGACGTAGTAAGGCAGAATTGCAAGAAGCGGAAATATGTTGGGAGACATAAAGTCGCGCTCACACTGCTACTATCACCATACAAAAAAGACAGTCTGCACAGACACTCCTGCAGGTGTGTCTCCATTCCTCGTGTTGTACATGACAGTCCTGTCGCATCGATCGTGCAAGAACCTCTAAGAATACGTGTGTATGAATAAACAAATGTGCTTCAAATGTTCTTGAGGCGTGTCCGCGGATAAATATCCGTGGATAATCTCGTCGTCGTGTCTGCATGTGAACCCCGTATGGTGTGATTGCGGCTAATTATGATCCGAGCCTCCAAAACAAGGAGGAACAAAATGGCGGACGACACGACGCACGAT